AACCCTAAACCCTAAACCATGGCCCCGCCTGGTCGCCGCCAGGCAAGATCTGGAGGTCGGAGGAAAGGCCCGCGGCGTGGATGCATTTGTAATATCCTTAGGGTTTAGGGTTTAGGGTTTAAGGGTTTAGGGTTTAGGGTTTAGGGTTTAGGGTTTAGGGTTTAAGGGTTTAGGGTTTAGGGTCAAGGTCGCGATGCCAGGGTTCGAGATGTTGGGGCTTGCTATATACCGCAGAGGCCGTATTTATTTCGAGCAGGCTTTCCTGTGTAAGTTAGATACATTACGATTGTATTAAGGACCCCTAAGAGTGGCTAATGTTGCTGATTAACTGTTCAGTTCAGGCTTCTATATTCAGGCTATTATTTTGGGTTTGCATGAGAATTTGATGGAGCCCAGCATGCTTAGACAAGCGCGGTTTGGCTTCAGTAGCTTGGAGGTCTTCCATGTCTAGTGGGAGTGTGGGGCTTAGGGTTTACGGTTTAGGGAACTACATGGGTGTCTAGGACTGCGCACCGAGTTTTGCGGTTAGAGGCATATCTGCATGAGCTTTTAGTGCTTCAGGCTTCAAGTTTTCGGGACTCAGGGTTCAAGCATTTCAGGGTCCTGCGCTCCCTGGGCACTGGACCACAGCTACAAATCTCTGGCACAAGACTTCGAGGAACATGCCTGCGCCCCAAACTTGGCACTGAACCCTATAACCCCACGAAGTGCAGGAACAAATGACGCATTCACGCCGTGAAACGGATCTCCAAGTTCTATGATTCTAGGGCTGGGGATTGGGGATATCGTTGGGCTTTCATGCCTTTCCTCGGCATTTACACCTCCCAAGGGTTTGGGGGGGTAGAAACAGGTGGAAAAACGGGAAACGCAGCATCAGGGCATAGTAGAAGGAAGCTCTTATCAACCCTAAACCCTGTAAAACCTACACCCTACACCCTGAACCCTAAACTCTAAACCCTAAACCCTATAAACCCTAAGCCCTACACCATAAACTGAGGCTTGGGCGGTCATGATGGAGCTGCTGGTTCATGATGATGTTCTCGCGGAGAGTGCCCTCAAAGATCCACGGCACCTCGTTCGGTTTTAGGGTTTAGGGTTTAGGGTTTAGGGTTTAGGGTTTAGGGGTTTAGGGGTTTACGGTTAAGGGTTTAGGGCTTAGGGTTTAGGGTTTAGGGTTTAGGGTTGCAGAGACTCCCACCTACACCCCTTGATCGAGGAATATAATTCAGGAAACAACCTTACAACCCTAAACCCTAAACCCCTTTTGCATCCGGGCTTGTGAAGTCGGCCGGGGAAGGTGACAGGCAGCAACGGAATCGCGCCTAACCCCTAAACCCTAAATCTTAAACCCTAAACCCGAAGCCTTAAACCCTAAACCCTAAACCCCTAAACCCTAAACCCTAAACCCAACGCACTATGCACTTGCAGCAATGTAATGAGCGGCAAGGGTGGTCTCTCCAGGCCCGGAAGAAGGTCCGAGGAACTTTTGGGGGTTTAGGGTTTTTTGCTAGGATTGGGTTTAGGGTTTAGGGTTTAGGGTTTAGGGTTTAGGGTTTAGGGTTTAGGGTTTAGGGTTTAGGGTTTAGGGTTTAGGGTTTAGGGTTTAGGGTTTAGGGTGGTGTATAACTTTGACAAGTGTACTGCGCTGAGAAGTAGCCAGAACCTAGAAGAAACCCTACATCCTAAAGCCTAGGGTCTAGGAAGACCTAAGCCCTTGAAGTTAAGGTTGAAAGCTGATGAGGGTTTAGGGTTTAGGGTTTAGGGGTTTAGGGTTTAGGGTTTAGGGTTTAGGGTTGGGAGGCTTACTTACTTGTCTAGAATCCCAGGGGATTTACAGATCAAAGGCCACCCACTCCACTGCTATAAGTCTAAGGGGGCTCAGGGTCCCAAAGCTACCCAGGCCTTAAACATAATTGAGGTTTTCGGGATTAGGGTTTAGGGAGTAGGGCTTAGGGATTAGGGTTTTGGGGATCGGGGATAGGGTTCAGAAGTTAGGGTTTAAGGATTAGGGTTGAGGCGAAATCAAGAGACCCAGTCTTTTTGGTGGCTTGGCAGGTTCTTAACAGCTCCGGTGGTTCCCAAAGCGGACGGCTCCTCAAGTAAGGAATATAACTGAAACCTCTGAAAGGATACTTAATGGCTTAGTGTGATGGTGTATAATAGTCGTCTACCCTAAACCCTAAACCCTAAACCCTAAACCCTAAACCTAGGGCCCCAGACCCCCAGTCTATTCCTGAATCTGAATTACGGGACACTGGGCTTTCTGAGCGTGACGGGCCCGAAGCCCAACTAAGGTGGCTTATAAGATGCCCAGCCAAAGCCCGACCGCCCCCTAAAGCATCTGAAGGGCATTGTCGACTTCCGTAACCAAAAGACCTTACACCCCAAACCCTATAAACCTGGAGCCCTAAAGCGAACCCTAACCCACCCTCTGCAGCTTCTGAAGCACCTGAGCGCAGTAGGCAATGTGGCCGCTGCTCGTATCGGGTGCTTCGACGAAGCTTTGCCCGCCACTCCTCGCAGAAGACACAGGCTTCTTGGACCCCAAAACTATGTAGATTGATAGCATTTTATAGGTGCTGGGCCATTATTTTACCTACTTTGGGGGGTTTAGGAAACTGTGACAGGAGTCTTGGGAAGCAAATCCCATGCATCGTCAGCGCAAACTCACTCCCAAACCCTCAGCAAAAAAAAGCGGAAACGGTGTTGAGGGATGCAAGAGCTACTGCAGTTCACTTAGCAATAATGACAAACTCCTACGCCCTAAACCCTAAACCCTAAACTGCTTCAAAAAAGGGGTCACTCTTAGGCCTTAGGCTTCCTTCTTAGCAACAGAAAGCCTTGAGCCCAAAGCCGAATGCCCAGAAAGGGCCCCCTCTGGACAAGTCGAAAGGATGAACCGGGAGAGGTTTAGGGTTTCGGGGTTTAGGGTTTAGGGTTTAGGGTTTCGGGGTTTAGGGTTTACTGTAGGTTTTCGGGTTTGGGTTTAGGGGACATCTATCAAAAAAAAGAAGCTTTGGAGTGGGGCGCGTGAGAGAAGGTAGACTCCTGCCCTATCACCCCGTGTCCTCCCGATAAGGATTTTAATGCGGGTCCGACTATAAGGACCCTTCAAGAAAGGGGGCCGGGTATCATTAGTACCATGCTCCGGCCCTTGTTCCCGAACCAAGCCCTACACCGCAAACCCTAAACTCGAGACCCTAAACCCAAACTCCCTAAACCCTAAATCCAGAAGCCCTGGAACTACGGATGACAACGTCAAACGAAACCACTCTGTCTCGAAAAGTAGGACTGCTGTTCGTACTGTGGAGATCCTGCTATTTAGTGTTCGAAGATGGGGATGGGTGCTATGGAAGCCTCCCAACTTTTCGATTGCAGCACTTTGGGGCAGCCGGTGTGCCCTTTTAAGGCTCTCTTAGCTGCTCATCCCAGTCACCCCTGTCCTCTTACCTCCTTTTTTAATGACGATTCGAGACTTAGGTCTCTCGTTACGGCGGAAGAGCTACAGCTTAGGGTTTAGGGTTTAGGGTTTAGGGTTTAGGGTTTAGGGTTTAGGGGCTTGCAGCTATGGAGGGCTAGTAGGATTCCTGCAGGATATCTTTTGCAGGCCCTAAGCAGAGATCGGATCTGGTTGTTTCGGCCAGACTTCGGATCCAACATGCGGGTCTCTGGAACTGTTTGGAATTTAGGTGTGTATTTGTTGCTGTCCTTCAGTTAGGGTGTAGTGTAGATGCAGTCATTTTACCTTTCTGAATCTCCCTGACGGCTTTCGGGTTTAGGGTTGAGTCGGACAGTCCCGTTCAGCGGGTGGAGCTCGCCGATAACCGTCTGCAAGAGGCTGCCTCATGTTCGCATCTCATCGGAGACCCTGCACCCTCAACTCTGAACCCTTTTGAGCACGGGCTTGGGGTGTATGCCGGCAAGGTGGAATCTTAAGGTCTTCTCAAGACACCAGCAAACTTGTAAAACCCAACACATGTATAGCATTTGGATTTAGGTGTCTGAACCCTAAACCCCAAACCCTAAACCCCAAAACCCCAAAACCCAATAAGCCCCGAACCCAAAACCCTAAACCCAATAAGCTCCGAACCCAAACCTCCAAACTCTGAGCCCTCAGCCTTGCCTGTTGGGGCTTCCATGAAACTTGGGGCTGGCGGGGCCTGGGTTTACAGCTTCTGGACTCCAAAGGGCCCTCAGGTTTAGGGTTTTTGGGTTTTTTGTTGCCTCCTAAGAGTTTTGGGTTTTGGGTTTCCCATGTGGGGGGATATTTAATATTGAATTTAATCTTGTGCAATTCCTACTATAGGAGCCCCATGCTTTCTACCCTCTCGGGCCTGTGGAGAAGCGCAAAACTTTAAAACCGAGGGCGCAGCGATTGCAAAAGCAGTAGTTACGGTTTGGGGCTTCTTGTTGCATTCGGCACTATCAGCCACAACATGCCATTGTCGAAGGCTTGTCATCATACCCTGGGATTCCAGTACCTGCTTAGTAGACCAAAAGTAATGTTGCATGCCCCTGCTGCTGCTCACAGGCTTACGCGACTTGGGGGTAGAGAGGGCTTGCTGCTCCATCGGCTGAATCTGACAGTCTGTACTGCTCATCAACCCCTAAACCCTATAACCCTAAATCCTAAACCCTACAGACCCTATAAAACCCTATAGGTGTAGGATTTCGATATCGGAAATCCTATCACCCCGTGCACCGGACATTTGCCACCAAGGCGCTCTTGCCCGCGCCCACACGACCGATGATACCCACAAGTTCCTTCAAAGAACAAGTTGGAGGTTGGGGGGCAAAGTCTGCAAGTTTTGGATTAGTGCTTCTCTCGCTCTCTCTCTTTCTCTCCGCACAAGCAGAAATGAGAGCGAGAGAGAGAGAGAGAGATAGACGGCGAGAGAGGCGCCAAGTCCAAAACTGTCTGCTTGAGGGCTAATCGGGTCTGTATGGGTAGTTCTACAAATTAGGGTCCCTTTTAGGATTCTTCTTGTAAGGATGTCCTGTTATTGTGGCAAACTACCCTCGAAATTATGCAGACACCCTCAGAAGTTGAATCTAAAGCGCATGCCCGCTTGTCCTGAGCATGATTTGGGCTGGAAGGGATTTCAGGTAATGTAGGGGCCTTAATAAGTAGAGTAGGGTTTTGGGCTCCATGACAGTAGATTAGTAATATAAGGAACCCTAACAATAACATTGGCAATTATTTAGGCTTCTATATTGAATGTAAATGCTAAACTTCCGAAACTCTGTCAATAGACCCTCAACCCTAAACCCTAAACCCTAGACGCTAAACCCTAAACCCTAGACCCTAGGCCCTAGGCCCTAAACCCTAAACCCTAGACCCTAAACCCTAAACTGGGTAAGCTCTAAACTCTATGAACCCTTGGCCTCCGGGAAACCCAGAAACCTGGCTCTCCGGGTCTTTCCCTGTCACCCTAAGCCGAAGCATCAAAAAAGCCCAAAAGCCTTATATAATAGGGTCTTTGGGCCCAAAAGCCTTTAAAATATGAGTCCTTTGAGGGTAAGGGTAAAGAAATAAGATGGGTCATCAGTTTGGCTTGCGTGAAACAGCCGACAAAGCCAAAAATGAACCCTACGTTGCGTGTCGCGGCCAGGTGGCACCCTGCGGCACTGCGATGTCCAAGTCTTTCAATATCGGCTTCCTTCGAATTCTCTCGGAGTCTTCCGTGATTCTGATTCTGATGCAATTTCGCAAGTTCTTGACTTGGAGAGCCTAAAAACACTTCGAGTAGCCGGTTTTGAAGAGGAAGGCTACCAAGAAAACTGGGATGGCCACATATATGCTTAAGTTAACCCTAAACCCTAAACCCTAAACCCTAAACCCTAAACCAACAGTTACTTAAGTTCTCACCCCGAAGGCTGACTATGAACACTAAGCCCTGACCTTAAAGCCCGACACTAGACACGTAGGCCCCATACTAGTTCCTTTTTGGGATTACCTTATAGGATTCCAAATATGAAATCCAAAAAGGAACTACTATGGGGCCTATGGGTAGACACTAAATCTGCAACTCTTGGCTTCATGCCCGCCATCCTACTCCTCAAGCCACGAAAACCTTGAACTCTAATACAGGAACCAGATTAAAGGACCTTAGGTCTTTATTCGGCTCTCTATCTGGATCCTGATTTTTGTGGGGTTCTAGTGCCACGGTTTCTTAATCAGGTTCCTAAGAGACTCTTCGGTGGCTCCAATATTACATCTCGGACATGGCGTATAGGGCTGTATATCGAGCTCAGGGATTCGGAATCACAGTGTTGTTTTTGGGGTTGTGTTTTTTTTGGGGGGCTGTCAGGTTTTAGGTCTGGTGGTCGGAGATTTAGGGTTCAGTAGATTCAGGACTTAGGGCTCAAATTTAGGCCCTTGCAAACCCTAAACCACCCAATCGTGTGAGGCCTCAGCCTACAGATGCGACTAGTGGATTCTAGGGTCCGTCATCTTTGAACATCATCTCCTAGGTGGGGCGGAACTCCTAAAGCTAGTTAAGCTTTAAGACCCCGATTAATACACCCCTCTCCCTTAACAGTGATTTTAGGAGGAATCCGAACAAAGGCCCTTAAGGGAATCCATTCCTCACGGGTCTGCATTATTTAAGGTCTTAGTGCTTCTGGTCTATAGAAGTCCTGAGCCCTCAGGATGAGCAAAGGGCTACCAGGCTAAATCAGCTCCGAAACCGCAGAATCACCAGAAAAAAATGGCTTTAGGGTGTAGGGTTTAGGGTTTGGGTGGCACATACTATAATAAGCAAATCAGGAACTAGAAGACACATGATGACGAGTTGATCCGGTCACCACATTGCCGTACACCGTAGTGCAGAATACTCGATTCCGAAACCGTTTTGGGGCCATCAGAAACCGTGGAAAATTTCCAAGCCCATGAGCTCAATGATCAATGTGAAGTGTGGCCACGCACTTGCCAAAGGCTGTGCACAGACCTTTCAAATTAGGGATCCTATTGAAATTTGAAATCGAAGGAATATTCCCTAATTTATTGAGAAATTATTTAACTAGTTACTTCATCACTCAATTAATGAATTATATAATTCTTTTTATTCATTAATTAATTAACTAATTAAGTAACTAACTAACTGGGTAGTGAAATTTATTAAGGGATATTGGAAGGTCTGGGTGGCACTATCTGAATTTTGGAACTTCGGGTGGTCCACTTCCATAGCTACGGAAAGTTGTAGTCAGGATCGGGTGTGGTAGCTGTCCGCAAACCGGGGCTGCTGGATTCCTGGATAACGGGGGACATATTGGGATATTGGGCTCTCTGGGTACTGTAGGGGCCTTAATAATTAGAATAGGGTTTTGGGGATTCCTTATTATAGTTGTAGTATACTGTACCCCAAACCCTACTCTAAATTATTAAGGCCTCTACAATATATTCTAAGTTATCGTATAATGTACCCCAAACCCTATTCTAAATTATTAAGGCCTCTACATTATATTCTAAGCCCGACTAAACCACAGCCACAGCGTCGCCCCGGCATAGGTGAAGCTTCCCATCACCCGGAGAGCCGGTGCGTTCCTGAGCTTAACGGTTTAGGGTTTAGGGTTTAGGGTTTAGGGTTTAGGTTTTAGGGTTTAGGGTTTAGGGTTTAGGTCTCTCCAGGCTCGGAAGAAGGTCAGAGGAACTTTTGGGGGTTTAGGGTTTAGGCTAGGCGAGGGTTTAGGGTTTAGGGATTAGGGTTTAGGGTTTCTTACTTCCCCAATGAGCCAGGGAGATAAAAGGTTAAACTTTCAGATTGGTACTAAATCATTAGAGCCCCAAAAGTTTAAAGATTGGGTATTGGAGAACTAAGTTAGTGGAGCTTCGAGAGCTTCGAATTTGATTCCCCCAAGGGGTCCTAAGTATCTGTATGAGGGGTACTTACCCTAACCATAACGGTAATTCCTACTATCAAACCCCTACTTACTACTATATAGGTACTTAGGACCCTTTGGATTCTTTGCCCGAGGCCCTCCAACAGTAGGTAAACTACCTGCCCAACATCCATATAATAAAGGGCCAGTGCCCTATATAGTTTGGGGGTCCAGGCACGCTTCAGGGTCGAGCTTTGGGTTAGGGATTTCACTTCCACCCAGTTCAGAGGTTCCTGGGCCCCTAAGCGTAAGCGTGTCAGGTATGGCAGGGTTACAGGTGATCCGAAAAAGCTCAAGTTACCTACGCAGCTACTAAGCAGACATGGAGTCTTGCAGGTTGATAGTAAAACCTTCCTCAACCCTCATCCTTCAACTTAACCCACCTTTCGAATCCGGAACGATTCAGGGGGTTTTGCCCTCGAGGAGTTTTTTTCAGAAGATGGATACGGGACCCTGACTAGAACCCTAACTAGTAGGACCCTGACAAAAAGGACCCCTGAACAAGGCATGATTCATGTCAAGAAAGCTCGGTGCGAGATTTTCAGGCTTGGTGGGCTGGCCCTATCTGTAAACCCGGAGTAACACCAGGGCCTTACATACGGATTCTAAGAGATTTCCGGGTATATTACCCTAAACCCTAAACCAACATTTCACATTAGGGAGCCCTCAGGAATACTGCGGTTAGCCATTCAGAGACTAAGGTACTAAGAGCCCCGAAAGATTTGGGCTCCATGAGCTGGGCTGGAACTCGCAGCGATGTAAACGCATGGGAAGAGACTTGGGTTTAGGGTTGATTTCGGTCCTGCAGTTGTGACCTGCGTTGTGATCGTGCAGATGATTGTCACCTTTTCTCTTACCCTGAATATATCTGAATATTGTCTACCGCCCGAAAAACCTGTACGAAACTCAGCCGAGACAGAAGAGTGCCAGCAGCGAAGGCAGTGAATCCTAAACCCAGAACCTGAACCTTCCACCCGATCTCGTTGAACTCCTGCAAGGCAACCACACCTTCAATCCGACTTAGCATCATCCCTCACCCCCCTACGCCCAAAACCCCTAAAACCCCAAAACCCCCAAAACCCTGCACCCCTGCACCCCTACACCCCTACACCCCTAAACCCCTAAACCCCCAATTCCTAAACCCCAAGACCCCAAGGCAGTCAGGTTTCTGGGTCTGCACCGTGGGCTGCCGAACCACATCCTTCCGAACTCCGCCATCGGGGGTTTCAGAAAACAGTGGTACCATTTAAAGAGGGAGGGGGGGGGGGGTTTGAAGCAAAGGAAACCCTAAATCCTAAACTCTAAATCCCTAAACCCTAAACCCTAAACCCTATACTCTAAATCCCTAAACCCTAAACCCTAAACCGATTTTCGGATCACAGTAACAAGGCCTCCGTCTTTTCGGCACATAGTCTGTTGCAAGAAAGGGGGCTTTAGGTCTTCTGGCTCCTTCACAAAGGTACTGTGAGGGTTCCTTGTTGGGTTTAGGGTTTAGGGTTTATATAGGGGTTTAGGGTTTAGGTTTAGGGTTTGAGGGATAACCTCTAAACCCAAAGCCTCTACTAGATTGCAAGTGGAGGTTTAGGGTTTAGGGTCAGGCTTTTGCTTTGCAGTACCGATTTGTGGATAGTCGACCGGTATGGTTAGGACCCGACCATACGAGACCGAGGTAACCAACAAAGTAGAATTTAGGGCCCGGGTGTTAGCGCTACCAATAGCCCCCCTAAACCCAAAGCCCAGTGCTTCCAATAGCCTCCTAAACCCAAGACCCAAAAACCCAAAACCGGTTGCCCCTGCATGACTAGGCTTCCCGTTGCTTCTGGAGCCCGAAGGTGTAACCCCTTTACTTTCAATCTAAATTCTAAAATTTAAATATAAATCACAAGTTAAACCCTCAACTGGTATGGAGTATTTGGGTTCCGTATAAACTCTAATGATATAACTATGCTATAGTATACCAAACCCTATTTCACGGCTGATGACATACATCCTACATTACCCATAATAAGGAATATACCATAGTTCTCATGGTTTAGGGTCCTTACTGTAATGCAGGAAATATGACATCAGCAGTATGTAGTACAGCCCATCCTACATCCTGCTGGCTATCAGGATGTCGGGTTCGGTTCAGGATTGTTCACACTCTTACAACTCGGACAAGCCAGGCGAGGATTTGGGTTTAGGGTTTAGGGCTTTTGGGGTTTAGGCTTTTGGGAGTATCTACACTTCACGTTGTTCTGAATTGGGGGGTGTCCCTTCGAATTGCAGCAGGCCTCTACCGCACCCTTATATTACAAAACCCGGGACTCCTAACACCTCGTTTCCTTAGCTACCGAACCCCCCCAAAGCAGGTAACATAATGGCCCAACACCCATGAAAAGACTATTTTTCTACGTACTTGTGGGGTCCAGATAATGGTCACACACCAGCTACCTTAAACTGCCAAACCCTACTTTTTGTAGATTATGAGCTCTAATCTGGAATTTATAGGGACCCTACAAAAAAGTAGGTTTTGGTAGGTTAAGGTTTAGCCTCACGAAAGTTTCAGGATGCAGGGTTGAGCGCCATGCGCTTTACACTTATAGGATATCGGGTTCCAATCCCTAAGCCCTCACCCCTAAATCCTAAACCATGAACCCGAAACATAGAGGCCAGGAACGAGGGCAACCTCAAGTCGATAAGATCTCGACCGCGGAAAAACATGAAGTAGGGTATGTAATACCAGTATCCCACGTCATCAAGCCGAAGATGTACATTCGCCACAATCGAAATTTATCCCTTACAACCCTGTGCCCTAATTCCTAGCTAAACCCTGAACTCCGAACCCCGAAACCCTGTTCAAAACCCCATCGGCATGAAACGGTGCCAAGAATCCTCCGGCCGATCAGGTTGCGCGAGGAAGCGCCTCTCCACGGTTCATGAAGACCCTCCCTTCCCCCCTGCACCCCAAAAACACACACACTAGGGCATACAATGCTTAGCTTCTACTGGAGCCGTCCAGTTGGTATAATTACAAAGGCCACGTAGAGTCTTCAAGTGGAAACCCTTCAAGACCACCTAAACTTTAAACCCTAAACCCTAAACCAATAGGATATAGCTGCATCGATCCATCCAAGCCTGGCTCGGGGCTGCTGCGGATTGTTGCAGTACATGCTTACTAAACCCGTGCGTCGCACCACTCTCTGAAACTGAACTCGGAGCAAGAGAACAGGTCACATGGTAAGATCAAAGCAACTTATTGTGAGAAGACGGTGATGAGGCAGGAATACGGCACATCACCGACAATCGCGGCCCATGATCAAGCGATGTCTAAATTTTGCAGGAAGTTGTGAAACATGTTGGCTGAAGCCTGCAGCGAGACAAATATCAGTACCACTACCAGTTTCTTGAACCTTCAACATCGTACGGGGTCGAAACCACGCACAAATGCAAGATTCCATGAACACATCGAAATCAAGAGATGGGTAGTGCAATGAGGTGTGCATCAAACTGTATCATGATGTACATCATACCTCATCCTCAACCTTGACCCCCACGACGACTAAACCCGAAACCCTCAACTCTAAACACTGAATCGGGAAACCCTCATCTGCAGAAAAAGACTGCCCTGATTATAGATCCGGTAAAGCACCCTTTATCTTATCTTCCCTAAACCCTAAACCCTAAACCCTAAACCCTGCAGCCCTAGGCCCCCTTCTTTGAGGAGCCCTGAACCCTGAAACCCGAAACCCTGCAGCCCTTAGGGTTTAGGGTTTAGGGTTTAGGGTTTAGGGGTTTAGGGTTTAGGGTTTAGGGCCCTAAGCTGTCCTGATGCGAAAGAAGCTGTTCGGCACGACCATCGCCCGACCCAAACCATTGGAGAGTTGCCCCATGTTGCCCAGCAGGGCCTTCAAGAAAGTCGTTTAGGGCTTTAGGGTTTCGGCGGGTTTAGGGCTCTAGGGTTTTAGGGTTTTGGATTTATAGGGCTTTTACTAAACCCTAAACCCTAAACCCTAAACCCGGGTTTAGGGCTTGAGGGCTTTAGGGTTATAGGGTTTAGGCTTACGGGGGCTGAGTAAACACACTTAATGTTGGAGCTTCGAGGATGAGGGTTTAGGATTTAGGGATTAGGGTGTAGGGTTTAGGGTTTAGGGTTTAGGATTTAGGGATTAGGGTGCAGGGTTTAGGGTTCAGGTTGTCCACGTCATGAGTCTAGCGGCTTCGGCTGACGGGTTCAAGGGCTTAAGACATTCCGCAGCGTAGGGGCCTAAATAATTATAACTGCCAATATTTTGGGGGGGTTCCTTATTATGATTAAAATATAATGGGCCCCAAAACCTTATTCTAAGTCCTATAGAAAATCTTATATATTATGTTCGGAAGCTTGCTTGCCTACCACTGGGGTGTCTTTTGTGGCCAGCGGGCTGTTGATCTTGAAACTGTAGTTTTATCTCACTGCCCCAGTACCCAAAGAAATAGAAAGTTCAACCTAAATTTTAGCTTGTCAGAAAGTACCGACATTGGAAAACACAGCATGTGTTTTCCAACCACTGGCTATCAAAGAACAAACCAACATGTTTTGCGCCGTAGCACACCCTAAAGCCTAAACCCTGAACCCGAGGCCTCCGATGTAAGGGGCATTGGGCCAAGCCCCAATCCTCTAAAGCCTGAACCGCCGCCGCAGATTCCCAGCCGTACTCCCTATACCCTAAACCTAATCACCTAATCTCTGCTGATAAATAGCCGAATTTATTGACACAGAAACCAAAATAATTACCAATATTCCTGTTAAGGTTACTTATTATAATTATAATAGTACTATGAAGGAATCCAAAACCCTATTGAAAATATTAAGGCACCTACAAGAAAGCCTAAACCCTGAACCCAACGTGGAGACCTTGAAGAACCCTGTGAGGATGCCGACACACAGCTAAACCCTAAACCCCTTAACCCCTTAACAGTCGGTTTAGGATTTAGGGTTTAGGGTTTAGTGTTTAGGGTTTAGGGGTTAACACTAAACCCTAAACCCCTTAACTCTAAACCCTAAATCCTAAACCCTAAACCCTGGACGGTGCCTGAATCAACCGCTGTACGATCATGACCTGGTGTGCCGGAATCTGGCCATTGCCTGCGCATCTGATCTAAGGGCTTTAGGACGGACCTTTTAAAGGGTACTATAGAGATCCCCCTAAACCCTAAACCCTAAACCCTAAACCCTAAACCCTAGGCTTCCTTTAAAGGGGTTTAGGTCTGAAGGAAACCCCTGAACCCTAAACCCTAAGCCGGAGGCCGGGAAAGTGTAGGGTATTTTTTGAGGACTTAGGTTCGATGCTTTAGAGCTTTCAGATTTAGGGCTATGGCTTTTAGGATTTATTGTTTGAGGGTCAGAAAATGCTAGAAGGGTTTATGGGATTTGGGGTTTAGGGGGAGCTTCTCCAACATAGAACCCTTCGCCTGCTGGTTCAAGCACAAAGCCCTGGCCCCAACAAAACTGGAATCCCCAGCCGTCATTGAAAACTTAAGGGTTTAGCTTACTTTAACAAGTCACGTATACAGAAAATTCTCAATTCAGGGGTATTCGTCCCTCTGAGAACAGCTGATCTCTAGAAAGGAAACCGAATGGCAGGGTTTCGGGTTAACCCTAAACCCTAAACCCCAAAACCCAAACCCGAAACCCCAAAACCCAAAACCCTAAACCCAAAACCCGCACAGAACTCCAAGAGTCGGTTTCATGCAGGGACCCTCTCGTAGGAAGGATTCCTCTGCCCTGTTCCCGGGACCCTGTAAGCCCATTTTCCAATCATGGGTTTAGGGTTTAGGGTGTGGATACTAAGCTCCACTTACAACGTCCCTGATTTCTGATAGAGGGATCCACATGCTAGCGTGTACTTATGCTTGTGTGCCTTTCTAAGGCATTACATATGCGCCGGAATGAGCACCAAGCCATGGTCCATGGTGCCCGCGGCCTGCTTTCGACAGGAGGATCCACATTGTGATCGTCAGCACACCCCACGGGAGGGTGTGTGCCACTGCTGTCATGACACCCGTCATCACCTGAGCTTCAGCTCAGACACGCCGACTGTTCTCATGTAGTTTTAGGGTTTACGGTGGTTTAGGGCTTAGCTATGCATGCCGGCTGATCTTGAGTTGCTAGCCTGACCTTTTAATTTGCCTGCGGAAGAACACCCAGGGTCAGCTCTGCACCACTTCGACAGGACGTCAGCTAGAGCCCGAGACCCTAAACCCTAAACTAGAGTAACTACCCATAGGCCCTAAAGTAGTTCCTTTTTGGGGTTCATATATAGAATCCTATACGGTAACCCCCAAAAAGGAACTACTATGGGGCCTATGGGTCCAGCAAACCTTGAAGTTGTCTAAGCAGAGCACAGCCATTGCTCGAGCGCAGTAGAGCTCCCCATCTCGGGCCTTCAGGGACTTAGGGCTGAGGTTTTGAGGGTTTGAGAGCTCGAGGGTTTAGGGTTTAGGGTTTAAGTTTAGGGTTTGGGGTTTGAGAGCTCGAGGGTCGCGGTTTTGAATGAATACTTTAGGGTGTGGGGCTCTGGGATTTCATGACTGGGGCTTTTGCAGGGTTTGGATTCTAGGGTGAATTTATAAACGGGTCTCACAGGGGTTCGACTATGGAAGCGATGCCGGGTTGAGGGTTTACTGCAAACTTCGGCAGCTGCAAGAGGGGCTTGATCTCGATTCGTAGCCTACCTGTGAACTCCTGCAGCCGATGTTGTGCCGATGTCTCACACTCAGGACGGTACCGCTGCATCGTCAACCTAAGGTACCCTTGTAGTACCCATATGGGACCCTATAAGGCCCTTATGGGCTGAGGGCCAGCCCGCAGTAATGTAAGAGTTTGCTCGGCCTGAGAGAACCATGCTTTGAAAGATGAGTCGAGTGAGAAGCACCCTTCCCTCCCGAGTATAGCATAGTATAGTAGAGCAAAAGAATAGCATGGCATATAGTATAGCACATAGTATAGTATAAAAAGTACAGTATACTATACTCAGTGCATCAGGGACATCAGCAAACTCATCTGCTATCGCGTCGAGACACCCTTGTCACTGTGTCTGGCCATGTATCGCGTACAAAGCACTGCCGCCCGAAATCCAAAATCGTACGCCCTGTGATGCGACTCAAACCTAAGCAGATCCTAGACCCTAGACCCCTTTTCGCATCCGGTCTGTGGTGACGCTAGAGGACCCCCAGACCCCTGAAAACAAAAAAAACCTGCACGCCAGCCCTAAACCGCCATATAGGGGACCTTAATAATTCGAACAGGGTCTTGGGGCGGTTTGTACCATATTTACAGGAAGGAACACCCAACATAGTATAGATATTTACTAAAGCCCCTTTAGTAAACCGTATGCCCTCAAGCCTTCATACGAGTAATTATAGCAAGGAACCCACGGTTTAGGGTTTA